ACCCTGTTTATCGATCATTTTCCATAGGTTTAAACGGCGGATGAATCGATATATCGCAAAGCTTGCCACGCGCCTGCTGTTCGGGAACTTTGAGGGAGAAGAAACTACAACTTGGGCGGACAGAGAGTTCCGGCACGGCATCAAACTGAGCGGCGTACAATGGTACGAGCTTTTTAGAGAGGTCGGACATGATATTCATGACTTAAACTATGAATTTTGATGCTAATTCTGTCATAATTCATATTGTGAGGGGTGCTTTTAGTAGGCAATTTGGCGTAGAAACCAAGAAAACCATTTTTAAAATCTATACGTTCCGTATTAACATAGATATGACCACTGGAAAAAAAACATATTGGATCTATAGTCCAAACTCTTGGATTCATTGACAAGAAAAAGGACTCTTGATTCGATCAGATTTAAGCTTAAGTCAAAAGGAAATCCGCTCAAGTTACGAGGCTTGGTTCTTGATTTAAGCTTAAATCTGATTGAATCAAGAGTATTTTTTCTTGTCGATGTTTTTAAGAGTCTGGACTCTAGATCTAATGTGTTTTTTTTCCAGTGAGCTTTTAAAGTTTCCAAATTTTGTCCGACTTCTCCCGTTGAATCGTCCCAGTGTGCGGCGCGCGGGGCACGGCGGCTCCGGGCATTTATTCAACCCCGCGTTTGACCCATTCCGTTTCCCACCGGCCTGTCCCCAATTTTATCACCTTGCCTCCACGTCCAGTCGTCTGATCATCTCCACCCTTCATGCAACGCATGAGAACTAGTGAGCTCGTCACAGGATATCGACGGCGAAACTGCAAAAATGCGTCTCTCGGTTGCGGTGTTGCGAGATCTCTCGATTATTCGAATATTTATTCGATATATATTCGATATATTCGCATCTAATTTATTTTTTAAAAGGAGGCCGAACTCACATCGTGGCTTGACGTTTTCACGGAATATACTTCATATTAAGAATATAAAGCACTGAATTTTCAAAAAATGATGTTCAGTGGTTTCCCCTTTTTTGAAAATGAAGTCTGCAACGCCGAAAACCGAGTTACGCATTTCTACTTTTTCACCATCGATATGACGTTGCTACTCTGATGTACAGGCGTATCTCAATTCCCGCTTGAGCCTCGAAAAGCATAGGATCATATGGAGAACAGGGCTCAAGTTGGAATTGGGAATAGCCCAAGACACGCCTTTGCGTCAGAGGAGCGACGCGATGAGACGGACTTGGGCGGAATGTGCCTTAAAGTGGCGGAGAAAAATGAGGAAACTAAAAAGTTTATTATGACCGCTATGCGAAGAATGGAGATGTTGCATGTGTGAGGAATTTGCGATTTGACTGTTGATTCTTATGTAAAAGTTCGCGAGAAACACGATGTGGCCACTGGTTTTCTCTGAAATCAACTCCCAAGCTCAAAAAAAGCTCTCATGTTGAGGCCAAAATTGAGGGGATATCCCACTCTACCCTGAGAAGTCCACCTCTACATCAAAACAAACTCTCCATGCAAAGATATAGGGCAAATACATCAGCAGGGTTGCCGTGTTTTCAGTTTTGGAGTCCCCAAATAAAGTAGCAGCCCTGTCAATGTATTTGCTCCCTATCTTTGCATGGAGAGTTTGTCTTGATGTAGAGGTGGACTCTCAGGATAGCGTGGGATATCCCCTCCATTTTGGCCTCACTTTGAGCTTGGGAGATGATTTCAGAAAAAAACCAGTGGCACCATCGTGTTTCTCGCGAATTTTTACAAAAGAATCAATGGTCAAATTGCAAATCCCTCACACATGCAACATCTCCATTCAATTTTTTACATGAAAATGGTCGTGCGGATTTTTGTGCAAATATTTGTGAATTTTCTGCACATTAAGAAGCAAACTCCTTGAAATTTCCAGAGGAATCCGCACAAAAGTTCTGTTGTACACAATTAAAATGCCCAGTTAAAGTTTGCAATAGCTGATGTGGTTTGGTTTCTTTTTGCTGAACGGGGCCCATTTGTCCATGCACGTAGGGCATTTTGCCTACTCTAAATTTTGAAGGCAACATTATCAACGGCGATGCGCTCGCGCTCTCGTCTTGACTCAGTTGCATTGTCGATGGAGTTAACAATAAGTCTGGCAGCTTTTAGATGCACGTTGCAGCTGCTGGAATACCCAATGACCCCTGGCTCCTCATCCATCGCCCGCAGCGCCGATATGAATTTACGCCTCCCCGGTGTGTGCGAGAATGCGAACTGGCATTCCCCCGTCGGACGAAAGGCGGATAGTGGTCGAAGAACAATTTCTATGAATTATTTAGCACCCATATCATGATTTAATTTCGATTTTCGCCCCGATCCATCAACGCACTGCCCCTCTTATCCGCAATTTTTCCTCTCCTTGCCAAATCTACCGATCAAGTGGATCGCATCCAGCGAAAAGGAACCAACGCGATTACAGTGTTGTGAAAATGATGATTCTTCCTAATACAGAATTTGCAGGTGTCTGAAATTTGGCTAATTTTGTGTTACTTAATAGACTTTTGAGGCTATGTTTATATTTTGAACCGATCGACATCGAGCGCGTTGGTGCCTACAAACCTAACAGGGATACTTCACGCATCGCGCAATGCGTGAAGTATCCCTGTTAGGTTTGTAGGCGCCAATCAACGCATTGCGTTATGCGTGAAGTATCCTTGTTAGGTTTGTAGGCGCCAATTAACGCATTGCGTTATGCGTGAAGTATCCCGGTTAGGTTTGTAGGCGCAAATCAATATAATCTCATCACCCGATTTAGGTATCGAATACGATCCATAACTACACAACGCACTGTCACGTAATTGATTTGTAGGAATTATGGTGGACATTTCTTAAATTCAAAATTCATGGAATAAAAAATTATAAATCGGCTGCAGGATTGTTCTCTTAAGCGCAGTAAATCCACCCGAGCCAGCCTAACTTCAATTTATGTTGCCTAACTTTGTGGCATGTTTTATTTTTTTATTCATTATACTAGATATATTATTTTAAAGGAAATAAAGTAAAATAATGCCTTGAAATTCTCACGGAACATGCGTTGGATTATAAAGAAATTTTCTGTTGAAAATGAAAATACTACAGGAAACAGTCAACTTTTGATGTAGTTATTTAAGCTAAGTTTGGTTAAATAGAGAATTTGCAGGTGTCTGAAATGTGATGAATTCCGTGTTTGAGTGGAAATTACGGAGTGAACTGATCGAAGATATCCTTGGTTAATGAATTAAACAATTATTGGAGAAGATATGACAAAATGATCTAATCTGTTTAGATACATGTGTTTACATGGGAAATGCCGCCAGATGACGTCACTGGGCGGTGCATTTTCTCACTTTTAAATCTACTTTTATACTTTTTCCCATATCAGACAAAAATTATATAAAAAAATGTGAAATCAGCTCTTTAATCACTTTCAGATGAAGCAATAAAACATTTGCATGCAAATTCTCCATTGTGTATGAACTCACTCAGAATAGCAACTCTTTTTTATTTCTCACCGAAAAATGTTTAATTTTAAAGGAAAATAAGTGTGTATATGTTAATATACTTTAAATATATTGAGTATTTTTAAAACACTGTAATCGTGTTGGTTCCTTTTTGCTGGATGCGATCCAAGTCGTCATTATCTGCTTTTTCATTCATCGATTTACCATAAAATCTCGCGTGAGAAGATTCTACTTTTGAGTGCTACCTTGAAGATGATACTGTGTTAACTGCGCTGGTCACAGAGTCGTGTTTTGATGCTATATCCTTGTAGATTAGCGACGAATGAAAAGATCTGTCCAAACAGCAACTTTCTACGCTCAATATTGACCGAGAAATCGATCTTTGAAAAGTCGGATTCTTGATGTCATCCACCGACCGCAGTAGTGACATCCCTGGTTTTTTCCACCTTACTTTCATCGGAGTTTCACGTTGAGTGGCCAGTGCAAATGTGCATCTCACTGACTGATGGAAGCAAGGTGGAAGAAACCAAGGATTTCACTACAGCGGTGGATGACGTCAAAGACCCGACTTTTCATAAGGCGATATCTCGATTAATATTGAACGTAGATAGTCGCTGTTTCGACCGATCTTATTATTTTTCGTTAATCTACAAGAAGCAAGCATCAAAACACGATTCTATCACCATATTGCAACTGGCCCAGTAGATTCATCTCTGAGGTCCAAGGCCCCAAAATGAGAATGTAGAATTTGCGCGCAGATGTTTTATTGACGGATCAGGTTTTTCTCATATTTCTTACAATAATTGCTCAATTTATAAACCAAAGGTTTTCTCGTGTTTCACCCATGTAGGATCCAACTATTGTTAGACACGAAATTCATAAAATTTTAAACACGTGCAAAATTTCCATTGGATCCTTTAAAAATTATGCGTATGTGATTTTACATTCATGATGCTCATATGCTTTGTATGAATTAGAGTCCCTTTATACCCAGAGTTACGACAACTCGATTATCAGCTGACTAACAGCCGGCCTTGGCTGGCCATGGAGGCCGAAACGAGTGCACCCAAACGAACGATATTGGGGGATAAGGATCAGGAATCCTGCGATGTCTGTCACACAGAAACAACAACATCAACAAATTGATCAATTAAAAAGAAAATGAGATTGGTTTGTGAATAATTTCTTAATCTATTTTCATTTTGGACCGATGGCAATAACAATTTACTCTTGATAAACCACAATTAGGTAATATTTTCATTATTCTTGTTCACATACGAGGTACCGCCATCTTGGTGCACTCGTTTCGGCCTCCATGAGCGAGAACCAATCAGAATTGGATTTTTTTTTAGGCCACTTTCAGCCCAACCCTGGCCCAACCAAAAGTGAGTTGTCGTAACTCTGGGTATAAAGGGACTCTAGTATGAATGAGTCCTTACTTTTTCCATATTAAGCTCTTTTCATCTCCTCTGTGATTCAGACGCCCCTTAAATACAATGTTGTGATAAAGTCATGATATGAATGAAACGAAACTTTTTAATATTTGACGTACCATCCATAGGAGGGTTTCATTGGCGAATTGTTGATAAGCTTCTATTGTTGACAGAACACTGAATATAAGACAGATGAGTACCACTAGGAATCTGGAATCAAAAAATAATAACAAGTCTGTAAGAGAAAAGCAGAGTATGATTTGATTTGGTGGACTACAGAACATCAAAACATTGAAGGATGAATCGAATCGACCATCGAGTTCGTTGAATTTTGGCAGCAGGATGACATTTCGGCTAAAATTCAATCCAAAATTAGCAAAACGAAGGCGGTTAACAACTCTATCGAACAAGAGAACATTTCATTTACCTATTTGAATTTTACCCGGAAAATGATATAGGTAACGCATTACGCAATCGTGAGAAGATCCGACGGAAGCAGATTTTGAGTATGCATAATTCGTAATGCAGGGAGTATTCACCAGGTCAAAAGATAGTTTCAGCATCATGTCATTTATCGCTCATCTGGAATCGAAACTTTTTGAACTGAAGCTTCGCGCAAAGACTGATTTAATTTGCTCAAGAGAGAGAGAAAAAAAAAACCGCTTTCCAAAAGGTAGATTTTGACTGATCGTTTCTATGAACAAAGTTGTACCTAATGAGCCTGACAGGTCGAAAAATCATCCACCCTTGGACTTGAGATTTTCAGGATAAGGGGTGGTTTCAGAGGGCGAGTGAATAAATGTTGTTTCACAGGCCACGATGAGACGAGTGTTTTTAGGTATCGCCGACTAAGATCGGACGAGTTCGAAAAAGTTGTTTTAGACCACATAGCAGTGAAGAACTATGCTTAGTTTCGTTTTGATCGTATAGATAGTTCCGGAAAAAAACGGTCGCAAAGGTGCGTTAGCTCCCAGTTTTAAATAGTTAGTTAGTTAATTTATTTAGAGACATTCAGCTTCTTAGGCTACTAAGTTAGTTAGTTAATTTATTTTGAGACGTTCAGCAGCATAGGCTATGAGCTACATTTTTCAACTCAGGGCTTCAGAATCGATGCTCTTTTCAGCGGAAATGCTCGAAAATTATGAGGTTGTACCGTCTGCAATAGGTAGAAATTTCTTCGAAATCTACCTAAAAATACCGGCACCATACAACCTGCTAGTCTTGTGTTTTAGAAAGCCGCGGGTCAATTTGATCGGCGTGAGTATCTAAGGATGAAATTGCAATTTTATGGCGGTATTTTTGTTGCTCTTTGCTATTTTGGCAGTTCTCTATCATGAGATCACACCTTAAAATGCTATCATTCCATACATGCTGTGTGTCCTGTTTAGATGATTTGCAAAAGCAGGAAGGTTAATCCAATTTTAAATGAAATTCAACGTTGAAGTTGTTCATTGAGGGTAACTGTATCAGTGAAATCCAATCGAAAGCTTTTACTCAAATTTTAAGATTGAGCAATAAATGCTAATTTTATCATTAAAGTGATCCCTCTTCGTCCCATTCAAAGAAACGGTGTTGTCAAGTTTTCAAAGATGAAAATATGCAGTACCTATGCTTTATTAATGTTTTCTTCGAATCAACCGCCTTTTTAAGTTGATATAAGAAGTAATCCCAGCAATCTCGTAGTTTTAGCTTTCTAAACATTAATATGAATGGTTGCACCGATTATTCTCTGCGGAATATTTTCGCCACTAATTTTCCCAGAAAATCGAGTACGCCCAAAAAAGTCAGCCAATCTAAGAATTCAAATTATCCGGTTTCAGAACATTCCGTCAACGATTTGTTGTCTGGGCACCTGTATAGTCCAGTAATTTACGTCCACGCGTAAAATAAGAATCAGTGACTTGGTCCAAAGGTTATATTTCAGTCCGCAAGTAAAATTATATTGACAATATCGAATTAGAAAATTGAAAGAAAAGAAGGTGCTGTTATGGTAACTCATTTTTTAAATGAAATGTTACTTTCTTCTTTTGATTCATCTTTCAAATTTTCATTAGTTAATATTTGGTCTTATTTCTATCTATAAAATTGTCGATTTAAAATATACCGTGTTTGAATTTTTTTAAGTGATTAAATGATAATAACCTTTTTTTAAATGATAACATTGCTTCATTTTAAAAACATCATATTTTTAAAACGTGGCAAATATTTGTAAAACCTTTCCAAGCGATGGCATTGATATTAATCTCAAAGAGCCGCACTTTTGTTGAAAGGAACTATACAAAAATGAAAAAGAGAGAGAAAAAACCAAGGAGGATGCAATCTTTGGTTTTAACCCACTTTTACATCGATATTTTACAATCAAACACGTCCAATTTTGAGCGTTTGGTTCCGAATACACCACGCTGCAGCACAGTAAAAGCACAAAATATAAAAGAAAAATTAAAAAGCCTTGGAAATCATTAAATTAGACTCGGAACCACCTTATTATTTTCCTTTAATACATATTTTTTCCGTCAATTTAAATGAGAATAATCCGTGCGGAGCTTGCAAATATTTCAAAATCGTGAGTTGAAAAACGCTGACTCCGCGAGTTTAAATATTAGAGCCTAACACAGAGCAAAATGCGCACTGGCATCTACAAACCTAACGGGATACTTCACGCGTTGCGCAATGCGTGAAGTATCCACTTAGGTTTGTAGGCGCCTATGCGCGTGTCACGCTGGCTACCTATTTCGCGACATAGGTGTTGCACAGTATCATACGAGATTGAAGGCGCTCCAACTTATTAAGAATGACAAGCTTCTTTTTAGGGTACAGAGCTTTCCTTGCAAAAAAAATCAAGTATCTACGTTACAAAAAGATAGCGGTAATCTAGAAAACTTACTTAGCCCTAGCATCCGTATTTAATAACGTTTACCATAATTTTTGAATTTCATTAGAGAAAAATGGGACTTGATTTAGGCAGGATCATTCTTGTGTATTCCGTCAAGAAGATTTTATTTTGAATCAAGAATAAAATAGCTGAATGAAAGCGGGTTTCTGCTTGATCTAAATGAGTTTTCTTTTTTCGTAGTGGCATAACTACACATGAACACCCTATTAAATCTC